TAAGATCGTAAAGAGATTAATCAGTGGTAGCACAACCCTCATCCATAAATTAATCAGTCACAGTGTTGAATCTGTATAAATACTTCATAATAGATGCACCAGCCAATAGAGTAGAATACACAGTAAGTGTTTGTTAGAATGTCCGTGTGCGTCTTTTGACTTTTCCAGCGTAATCTCTGCCCCACATCAGAACCAAGCCGTGTGAGGGGCTAACAAGTGGAGACAATAGCGTTGCATTCCAAATCAAGTATGATTAGGCGTAGCAATCCAACAAGGGTAATTAGTGTGAAGCTAGAGGAGGTAAGCTGAGGAAGCAACATGGTGAAGCCAGGGGCTGGAACATGTCAGAGTTGGCCCTACATCGTTTGTCACGCTTCAGATTTGCATTTCCAGCAGAGCGAGGGCATGGTGAGAATCAAGGGTGAAATATGCGATTGGAATAATCAGTGAATGTGCCCTCAATTAAAAGAAGAAGAAGAAAAAAACAACTTGCAACTGGAATATTAAAAAAATAAGTCTTACAAGGGTAGGAAGGACACTAAGCATCCCTGTTGCTATAGCAACTGTGTTTGAGGACGGTTTGATTTGCAGGACCGATTTGGGATTCGCCGTGAACCGTGCCTGCCCTTTCATGGCCACTCACTCCATATCTTGTTATGGTCATCTCTTGTAATGGTCCCCTCCACCCCACCCCACCGCACTCCAACCCACCCCACCGTGATCAACGGGTTTGATACTCAGCCCAGACTTAAATATAGACCCTGGGGGAGCTTATTGATCCATGTGGCTATAAACACAGGTCCTAAGGCCCAGCCAAGCTGTTTGTGGCGTGTGTGCGGGCGGAGATGTGGGAGGTGCTCCGTCCCGAGAGCAGTTTATTAGCATGGCCATAAAAGTGCCATCGCCTCTAGAAAAGCAGCGACGGGCCCAGACCCCCACCCTCACTTTCAGTTTCATCCAAGCTGCCATGCTCCTTTGTTTGAGTTTGTACTTGTGCTAGATGTGCAAAGTGGATCCCTTTGGTGGTATAATCAGACTCCTGCTGAGACAGCGTTTTGCACGAGCCCTACAGCCTTTTGCCCTTTAAAACCTCCGCTGCACCCTCACTCTTTATTCCTATATGTGACTTCAACATTTATTACCATACATCTTTTGTGCCCTCTCCTCCCTTCCTAGGTCTCCTTTGGTGGCTGGAAGTGATGCATGAATCACTCTGATTTTTTTTTTGTTGTTGTTGCAACAGCTGCAGAGGCAGAGAGAGAGTGAGAAGAGAGTAGGTGAATGATGTAAATAAAAGCTTCCCGGAAAGGTTAGCCATTCATATCACTTTTGGTAAGACTGGGAATAAAGTCTTTGTTTAAGTTAATTGCATGACCACCCCTTTGTTGCACTTGACAGAATCGACTCTGCAGCAGTGGAGCCGACTTGAAAGGGAAAGAACAACACATCACCCCTCACAATCTTCGGGTTCAAAGCCCGGCTTTTCTTTTGTTTACGAAGAGTCAGAATTACCAAAAAGCACATTAACATATAAATGCAGCCAGGGATGAATCATACTCAAACACAGATACCTACTGACCCAGAAGAGAAGAGGCTACGACTCGGTGGAGACATGAAGAACCGAGAAAGAGAAGTAGGTAAAAAGGAGAGGTCACATTTCACTGTGTGCAGTGGTGCATTGAGTCACAATGACAAGAAGTTCACTCTTCACTTTTAATATCAATAAGCACCATCACCAAAAGTCAGTTTCTGTTCAACAAAACAGACAATTTTTGGCTCACAGATTAGACCACAATGGCAACTGCTCTCTAGCAGTAGCTGCGTAACATTACATTACAACAAACAACTAAAACGTTTTATATTGTGGCCAAAGGGGGAACAATTTCATGCCGGCACTCATTCTTTAGCACACATGAGATTTGAAGAGAGGCAATGAATCAAAGAGGCAGGGAAGATCTCGCATTCCAGCAAATGCACACAAGCTGTGATCATGGCCGGGAGGAAGGACAGTCGGAAAAAAAAAAAAAACCTTCTATTCATAATGAACACTTAGATGCACAAAACTATGTGTCGGCAAACATTCAGTGCGGGTTCTCCTGAGCAGTTTTCAAACCCACTCTTCTGTCATTACCGTTGGTTGTCTTTGCGGTGTTCCTGGGCATTTTTATAAGTACAGGTCAAGATGGAGCAACAATCCCTACTGTGGTCAGGGAGTGGGGTGAGTGGAGTGTATTGTGCCCATTATCTCATGAAAAAAAAAATCCCTAAGGAGCAGCATAATGCAATGAGAAACGAAAAAAATATGAAATGATAAGCTGTGCAAACACAACAGCCTGAGGAGCAGCAGCCAGCAAGCTGAATCAGGAAATAACAGGTTTTAGGAAGTGGCCACAGGGGCAGGAGCAGCTCTAAAGCCCCATGTCAGCCCAGAGGAAGCAGGAGGTTTTCTGCTGTTTATTTATTTATTTTTTGATCATTTTGGCCTCACTAAGCTTCTTAACACAGCAGCCAAATTTGCCTGATCTCATGAATTTATATTTACAGCAGATTGTACGGCGGCAGATACCGAACATAAACCCCAATCTATTTACGGTGCTAAATCCATTGTTGTCAGACGGGAAAGAGAAATGAGAGATCATAATTTCATGCCTCGGATTAATGTGTTATTCCCTGAATGATTAATGTAAAGCGTGAAATCCTAATCCTTAAGTAAAAGTGATAGGCCACGACAACAAAGACGATTCGAAACAAAAAAAAAATGAAGACGACAGCTCGTGAAAAGGGTTTTATATATTTACATCTCAGTGGGATTTTCAGATAATGTGGTCATTAGCACAGTTACACTTTAATACTCATATGTCAAATATAGGCAATCTCTTGAAAAAGAGGGACATGAAAAGTGATAAGTACCGATGGAAATTCTATTAGTTCTCTGTCTACGCTGTGGTTATGATGAAGGGGCAGAGGTGACGGCAGCGTTTGCTCATATATGGAGATGCTGGACCTAAGGTATGTCAGTACGGTTAGTACACTCACATGCGGCCCTGATCCAGTGTCGGCTTTGTTCATCGGCTTCCATGAAAACAAACCATTCCGCACACATTCCTCGTTCCAGAAACCACAGGAGAATGACACAGAACCAAAGGAGAAGGATAACAGTTACAGAAACCACCGGGCCTCCAGTTTCCACGGCTGTTCGCTCTTTGTATGGATTCCCTTGCCACGATGTTGGAGGCTACTGTTTATCTAATACCACTTCCAGCTCATCACTCCATCAGGGGTCGCCACAGCGGTAGGGTGCATGGTGTTTTTAGTTTGTTTTTTTTAATCTTTTTTTATTCTGAATCTGAACAGTTACGCTGCGTTTTATCTGACATATCACTGACGTTACAAACAACAAATGGACCAAAGATGGTGGACATCACTGATGGGCCAGATCAGTGTTTTTTAACCCCAGGGTCGTGTAGAATTCCAAAAAGGTCACCGGAAATATCTAGTAATTAATTAATTTAAAAAAAAACAACTGTATCCTTTCACTTTCAACATATAGAGATATGCGATCACGTGACTGCACAAGTTACAGTTACTGAAATGCAACTGGAATCCCCAGTCACGGTTTAAAAGGTGGGAAACCACTGGGCTAGATCATTGTTTCTCAAAGACTGGGTCGCGACCTTCAGGTGGGTCGAGTTTTGTTTTTGTTTTTTGGGGTCTACGAATAATGTCTATCGACTTGGTTTCCGAAGGTTTGTGACTTTTAAAATATGGGTCCCCAGAAAAAAAGGTTTGGGTAACACTGGGCTACATAGTCAAAATCGCTAGTGCCCCCACGCAGCCCCTATCCACAGGTAACAGTGTTTGACTGGACAGACTCACACTGACGTGTGTAACAACCATACTTATTGCAAATTAAATTAGAACGTGAACAATGATGCAAGAAATCAAAAAC